AACAAAAGAAAGAAAAAAACAACATACTGCCCCAGAGATGATGGGAAGGGAAAATTGGCATCTCCTACGGAACCCTGTTTCCTATTATGGACTTCTCTCTCTTCTTCACCTCTCAAGGTTGATGGAACAAGTAACTTTGCTCATAAGGCATTTCTAGTGGCTGATACAGAGCTTGCCCCAAAATAGGGCCAAAAGACACAAGTCAATATTTAACCCATCTGCTACATGGAGCTTCTTCCAAGTGTTCATGAAAGCCAAAGTGAACCAAACACAGACCCCAAAAGGATAACATTTTGGTGGCACTTGTCTTCAGTTGAAAATGCTTTATTTCACTGACTTCTTAATAAAAAGGAAGGGGGAGCACCATGGAATTTGTAACACTGATAAATATGTACACGGTTATTAATATGGATAGTGTTTATCTCTATATACAAAGATCTCTGTACACATTTATAAACAAGATGAGCATTTTGGAGAAAGGAAGGTGAAGAGTTGATGCTTTTGAGAGCACTTTGGATCTTTTTTTTTTTTAAACGCTTGCCCTTGTTGAGGGAGGGGGTGGGAAAACACTTTTTGAAAAATTAAATGTCCTGCAAAACGAACCTGATTTGGAATGTAAATATTTTGACTTTTGAACTTTTCCTTAAGAATGAAAGAAACATTTGAGTTTTCACACTGCAGTAGAACCAACGGATACCGCTTAGGAAATACAAGGTGACGGAACGATGAGATACAGCAACCGATTCACCGAAAATGAAGGCATTTGACATTTATATTCACAGACAAAATCAGTTCCATGTTTTACTCATCCCTGGAAGTTCTCTCCCCCCCTCCCCGCATTTTCACAGGTTATATCAGCCTAACAGAATCACCTGGTACCTGCTCCAATTAAATCGATTTCTTTCATCAGTGATAATTTATGAATGAAGCAAATCAACAAATTACTTAAAGAAGGAGTGATACTTTATCCCATTACTAGCACAGAGTCAATAGGAATGGACAGTCTTTTATTTCCGTTTCATGCCAATTTCACATGTATTTTTTTATATATTTAGGATCCTATATTCCACGTATCTACTGATTTGCAGGGCTTTTTCTATTAAAAAACTCTTCTCAAAATATGTACTTAAATACACATTTCTTTTCAAAATAGATTTAAAATGTACATTTTCCTTCAAAATACACATTTAAATTTCATAAACAGTGTTGTTTAACATTTGGTGAAGTGTGATAGCTAACAGAAAGCCAAGCTCTGCTTTTTATACAATATTTAAAGAAGGGCAGATCGAGCCGTTTCGTTCAGGAATTTGGAAAGATCAGTTCCATTAAGATGGAACAAGAAGAGGTCAGAAAATCTTAAAAACATTGTGGCCATGATTAGTTGTTCTCTTAAGATGAAAACACAATTGGGTTCTTTAGATGTGTAATTGTTGCCATGTTGTTCCTTCCTCAAGAAAGAAATCTACTTGATAATGCTGCTTCTACCGATTCATCCTCATAATATAAATGGATGAGCACCATTTCTGTGTGCACCCTATCCAATAAGATTCATGGACTTCAATTCCCAGAATTCCCCAGCCAGCATGTCTGGCTCAGGAATTCTGGGAATTGAAGGCTGGGGGTTTTAAAATTGGAAGGTTGGAGGCCCCTGCTTTATTCTCTAGAGCAGGTGTGTTGGGTTGGAATTTGCAAACAATCTCACATTTAAGATGGAGTTTCCCCCATTTGATATGATAACATCTGGATGACAGTGCATCTTCAAATCATTTTGAGTCAGAGAGGATCACCTAACAGTCCCTTTTCCTGTGCTGCAACATTCTTGAAAAATGCCCATACATTCCCTCCTTCAAGCCATAAATGGCCTTTGAAACCATACATTCTTGAGAAATCTCATAGGTGCCCTCCTGGCACAGTGGTTAGAATGCAGTACGGTAAAGGTTCCCCTCATACATATGTACTCATCTCTGTTTCAAAGCCGAAGAGCCAGCGCTGCCCAAAGACGTTCTCTGTGGTCATGTGGCTGGCATGACTAAACTCCAAAGGCGCACAGAATGCTGTTACCTTCCCACCAAAGGTGGTTCCTATTTTTCTACTTGTGTTTTTACATGCTTTCAAACTGGCAGAAACTGGGACAAGTAATGGGAGCTCACTATGTTATGTGGCACTAGGGATTCAAACCACTGAACTGCCGACCTTTCTGATTGACAAGCTCAATGTCTTAGCCACTGAGCCACCGCATCCCTTTAGAATGCAGTACTGCAGGCAAATATTTCCCTTCACACTGCCCACAGTCTGGAATTCGATTCTGATGGGCTCAAGGTTGATCCAGCCTTCCATGCTGCCGAGGTTGGTAAAATGAGGACCCAGATTGTTGGGGGGGGGGCAATATGCTGACCTTGTAAACTGCCCAGGGAGTGCCATAAAACATTAAGGAACAGTATATAATTCTTAAGTGTTATTGTTATTGCTATATCCCTCAGGAAATTTCTTCCCAAATCTGCTTCCTTGTCATTCAGCCTCATTGGCGGTAAAGCTGATCTGTGTTTTGTAAGGTAGCCATTCATAGAACTGAGGTTTTATCTGTCATATCTTTTATAGTCTACAATTTAGTCTTTATTATTTGGGAGGCATCTAAGTGCAGCATATGTCCCTTTTTTTCCTCGATCTCTCTTCTTTTTTTTTGTCCCCCCTTCAGGCTAAATGTAGGCAATTTTTTCAACCATTCCTCACAGGACTTTTCAAAACCCTACTTCATTGTGGTGAACATCATCTTCATTTGGTCAATGCCTCTCTTAAAATGTGTTGACCAGGGTCTGCATTATTTATCTGGTGTATTTCCAAATCCCAAACTCTCTCGTGTGTTGTACTCTGGATAGTTTCCAAACAGGAAAACTCTCATTTCTTCTGCTACGTGACTACATTCATAGAGGATCTCTCTCCACCTTCTTATACACATCTATCATTTCCAGCTGAGGGACTGACGTTCTAATAGGTACACTTAAATATTTGAAACATGTTTTTTTCCCTAAAGTGCAAGAAAACTTGAGCATAATGGATAATACAGTGTGTGTGTATATGCATGCAGGTGGCAGCTGCTTTCTTAAAAGAGGTATTTTCCTGATAATATCTGAAGAAACAAGAATGGTTCTTGCAAAGTAGCATTACTCATCTATATACTGTATATAAAAATGGCTCTGTGTGTGTGTGTGTGTGTGTGTGTGTGTGTGTGTGTGTGTGTGTGTGATCCAGCATAACTCTTGAATGCCTCAAGCATTCCAGAGTTATGCTGGTCATCCCTAACACCCTTCAGTGTGTGTGTTCTCTTAAGATACAGCCTGTTGTGCCTTAAAATGGCTTCTACTGTACTGCCTTAAAATGGCTTCTACTGTACAGCACAGTGGAGTTGCCATGATAACAGCTTCACAGTACTCCATAAGGGGGCTCCCTCTGATAAGAGGGTAAATCCACCATTAGAAATTACGCTTCTGAGGGCACAGGGAAAACATTTTTAATTAATTTAATTGTTACCAAAATCAGGGCTTAGGGAGAAGTTGCTCTTGCCATCACCTCTACAGGAATTGCGGTGATGTTCATGGAAGAAACAAGGACAGCCCATTTTGCACTTATGCTGCCACTTGACATCACCATTCGTATCTAATTCAGGATTGGGATAAATAAATATCTGGACAACGCCAGGTTATCAGCTAGTATTCTTTAAAGCAAAGTCTGTGTTTCCCTTTTAGAACTATTTCCTCCTCTACGCAGAATTGTTTGTTTCAAGGCAATGGGTCAAACGAATATATCCGTAGACCCATCTCATTCCCAATCAATCCTCATATCATTACTTGACTAAATTTGGTGACATCCATCTGGAAAAAAATTCTAATGGCATTAGCAACTGAACCATAAATAATTCCTTTGTGGATGTGCCACTTTGCCATTTAGGAAAATGCAGCAGAGGATGGGAACACATCTTACCATCATGGGCTGTGCTGGCCAGGGATAATGGGAAATGGTGTCAAATAATGTATATAAGGAAGAACCACAATTTCCTCAATCTTTTATACTGGAACTTATAGAACAGTTTTGATTGGAACAGCTAAAGAGATCTCCTGTCTTCATCCCATCAGCCTCTCCATGCTAAAATCGGGGTGCGTGTAGAAAAGGTGAATTTGAGGACTGGAATATTCTCCCCGAGACTTCAAGTGAAGCCACAGGGGAAGAAGTGACTTGTTTAGAAGCTCTTGCAGTATGTATTTTTGAGTCAGGAAATGTAAGCTCTGCTAACACCTCTCAAAATAGCAGCTCAGGTGATGCGATAATGAAAGCAACAGATTCTGTGTTCAAAAAACCCGATATCTTACCCATGGAATAATGTCAGTATTCTGAGTATGAGCAATAACATAAAGAGGAGCTTTTAAAATAGACTCACAAGTGAAATGAGCGCCTCTCTTTCTGTGTTGGACCATATCCCATTTATAAAGTTAAGTACTTCTACAGTGTAGATCAGTTCTTGCACAATAGATAAGTCGATCATTAGACTATTCAGCTGGTTATTTCATTGGTGGGTTGTTGCTGTTTTTTAAATGCCTTTCAAAGGTGAAAAGATTTATATACCAGCTGAAGAGACACCAGAATATGTTTGGCCCTACAGACTTGATGCCTCTGCTGTTGTCAGGCAGCTGCCAATCTCATTGGCACCATTTCTGTACAGCAAAACTTTGTAGTTTTGACCTCTCTCCTGAATATTTATACCAATTAACCCTGGAGAAGGCCAAATCAATAGCACNTGAATGTGAATGAGAGGAATTCACATTCATTTAATAAAAGGGATTTTGTCGGGACCAGGAATCTGCTTCGTGCTTTTTTGGGAAGCCTAGGTCAGAACGCAAGACAAACAACAGTGCGGAATTGATTTGGAGATAAGAATACCACCTCCCTTACTTGAGGAACATTGATTCTCCATCGGTTTTTTCCCACTTAATCCAAAGAATACTTACAAACAATGGACAATGGTCCTGCCATTGCCACTCTCTCCTTGCCACTTCTCTACTTGGGCTAATAAATTCAGGAAAGACTTTTTCGAATCTGGAACATCTCTGTAGGCTGACCACCGCAGGTACTGAAAGTGCTGGACCATCAAGTGTCCTTCCTGTAACTAGAAAAGTCCTGTTATTAGTTCTCTTCCTGTCCAGAGTTTGCTAAAACCAGAAGTCTTGAATCAGCTGTTCTCCAGGATGAAGCACAACTTGGAATCTGATAGGTGATATCAGCTGTCCATCTCCTTGCTTTTTCTTCTAGGATGAAAATACACTAAGCCTGAGTTGCTCAATGTTGGCAACTTTAAGATGGGTGGACTTCAACTCATAGAATTCAATCTTCAATCTCAAACTGTCTACCGTGGACCTCACCCCATTCCTAAGAGGTCCATAAAGGGGGCGTGCATAAGCGCACCAGTGTGCCTACATCCCTGTCTTACTGTCCCCATTTATCTGTATTTACTTCCTTTGTTCATGTTTATGTCCATAACTATACTTATTATCTTTACATGTTTGACAAACAAACAAACAAACAAACAAACAAACTCCATTGGGAGTTGAAGTCCATGTGTGTTAAAGTCCCAAGTTTTGGGAAACCCTGCACTAAACCATTCACAGCTCCCCAAATCTTTGAATTTAGCTCCAAAAACCTATTCAAATGGCAAATTTTATTAAGGTGGAATATGCATAATAAAAGAATAACCTTATTAGCCAGATTTAGGTTCAATCTTAAGAAATTACATCAAATTTATTGATTTTTGTTTCTATTGTATTCAGTTGTTTGCTTTTAGAATAAACTCTTCAGAATGCCGTTCAAAAACTCTCTGGAGATTGATTGCCCATATTCTTGCTCAGTGTTTCCCAGAGATGCATGGGACTTCAACTCCCAGAATTCTTAGAAATCATGAAAAATAACAGAATTCTGGGAAGGGTTCGTGATCAGGAAATATTGTTCTAGGGCAGTGATGGTGAACATTTTTCTGCTTGGGTGCCAAAAGGCTGCATGTGCGCGATAGTGCATGCGTGTGTGACCACACCCATAATGCAATGCCCTCCCCCCGCACATGCGTGCAGGGCTCACTGAAGGCCCATTGGGCCTGTTTTTCACCCTCCACAGGCTCTGGAGGCTTTCCTGAAGCCTGGGGAGGATGAAGACGAGCTCCCCACGCCCTCTGGAAGGCTGAAAATCATCTGGCCAGCGTGCACATACATGCTGGAGATGACATAGGCAACGTCTCATGGAGATATGGGCATAGAAACAGGCGAGAGACCTGGATTTCAATCATTGCATAACTAGGACAAACTCTTATTGAGGGGGAAGGTCTTTTCAGACAGCAATAATATTACTTCACTTCAAAATGAGATAAACTTACACCAGCTGAACTTCTCTCCTAAAATTCTACTCCTTCATTAAGTTGAGGTTCTCCTCGTTGTACCCAACTTCATTTACAATATGACTCATTGTTGGGCCTCAATGCAGTAGTTGCTAACCACTGACTTATATTATTTTATAGCATGGAGTCTGTGATTCATGAAAATAGGGAATTACCTACTTAGTACAACATGAATCACAGGAAATTCTACTCAGACAATACCACTCAACATTTTTCAACTCTTTAACTGGGGAGGGGAACAAAATCCTCTAGATCTAATGCATACCTAACCAACCAAGTATACAAGCATATCAAGATTCTTTGTGTTTCTGATGATGCTACATGTTGATAAAATTTAAATGAGGTGGAGTAAATTAAAACTGTTAATGTATTCATTCCAGAATGGACTTTAGAACATCAGCTATAAATCATCTGAGAGGCATGGGACATTTCATGGGGCATAGAAGAATGAAATGATGTCAGAGTTTGCAGTAGAAATCACATCCAGAAAATACACATGGATAACTGATTCAGCAGGATTCATTAACTTCTTTATATACATAATAACACAAGAATAAATATACAATACCAACCGCAGATTCTTCCAATGTGGTAGAGAGGAGAGATAGTTTCAGTTCAGAGCAGACAGAAAAGTTTCAGTTTCAATTCTCAGCACAGCACTCAGAACTGCAGGGCTAAACCACACCGAGGCTCCAAGCTGTTTCAGCTCCCATTGGCTGACCTTGTTACTAAACCCTATTCATTGGCTGACCTTGTTACCATGTCTCTGCCAGTCATGAATATTCTGACAAATGAGTTGTTCTTATTTGGTTCTGAGTTACTGTTTCTTTGGACTTATTCCTGAATACAGAAAGTCTTTGACTTATGACTACAATTGAAACTGAAATTCCTGTTGTTAAGTGAAACGTTTGTTAAGTACATTTAGCCCCATTTTATGACTTTTCTTGCCACAGTTGTTAAGTGAATCACTGCAGTTCTTAAGTTAATAACATGGTTATTAAGTGAATCTGGCTTCCCCATTGATTTCACTTATCAGAACATCAAAAGACATGATCACATGACCCTGGGACACTGCCAATGGTCATAAATATGAGTCAGTTGCTAAGCCTCTGAATTTTGATCACATGACCAGGAGAATGTTTGCAAGGGTCATAAGTATGGAAAATTGTCATAACTCACTTTTTTCAGTGCTGTTGTAACTTTGAGTGTTTACTAAATGAAGTCGAGGTATTACCTCCAACTTGTACACAGACAATCACTTGTTTAGTTACATTCAAAAGTTACAAAGCAACTGAAAAAAGTTACTTATTCACCATCCACCAGTGGCCTTACTCCCAATTCGACCCCT